CAAACAAACTGATTTGGTTCGAAATTCAAGTGTCGAACAAGTTCGACACTCACAAGCCGGACAAACTGAGTTGGTTCGAAATTCAAGAGCCGAACGAGCCCATATAACTTTTGTGGTTCAAAATTACAGTGTCGAACGGTTTGGAACTGATTCATTCATGGCAATGGTAAAAAATACATAAAACCCTAAAACCTAAGCGAAATGAGAACTCACCTACTGCTTTGCTTGAGCACCAACGACGTCTTCACCACTGCTTAACTTTGTGTTGAGCACCAACACAGTGTTCACCGGTTGAAACTGAGAATGGAGGGGGGAAGATGGAAGAAGGTGGGTGTGTGAGGGTGTGTGAGTCAGTGAGGGTAAATATGGGAGTTTGTGTGTGTATTATTGTGGATGGGTGTGTGAGTGAGGATAAATATGTAAATTTGTGGTGTGTCATGAGTAAAATATATATTTATCAAAATATTAGAGATGTGCTTTTAGAAGTGGTTTGCCTTGAGCTATGGTGTATAAATAGAGACACCCAAAATAGAGAGAGTAATGTGACAACTTATAGTGACTTTTTAGTTAAAACATATAATTATCAAACAGGTCCTTAAAATGTTGTGAAAACTATCTAAAAACTTGTTTTTTATTATTATTTTCATTAATATAATTATCTCTATCTCCATATATATGACTATAAAAGAGTGAAAGCTTTAAAAATGTTTTTTATTTTTATTTTTATTTTTATTTCTAAGTGTTAATAATGTTATACTACTTATAAATTGTAATTGAAAATACACGTCATTTGGAATGCATTTTAGATTTTTCAAGAAGTATATATAACTACAATCTATATAACTACAATCTCATCTTAATGTACAAAATCTACACTTCGGTAACCAAAGTGATACAACTATTCAAAATAACTATATATATGTTGATTCATGAAAATGTTTATATTATTTATTTACAAGTAAAATTGACGCTCTCATCTTACTCAAACACTCATGTAAATGTTGATTCAAAAATGTATTCACTATTTTCAAAAGGTGTCAATAAATTTTTTTTAGGTAAATTGCAATAGTAGTTCTTATGCTTTGGTCCTTGTGCATTTTGGTTCCTATAATTTTAAATTTGCTTAATTTTGACCCTGCATTTATGATTTTGTTTCAAGTTGATCCAATTTATGACAACTCTTAACATTTTTCTATGAAAAATGTACATATAAGTGGCATGTATCATATTTTTTAGAATAAAATTATAAATTTACTAAATTTAGTGAGTTAGTTATTCAACCAATTCAGTGGCTATTTTTCGTCAAAAACACTAACGGCATTATCAATTAGACCAAATTGACACAAGATTTAAAATTAAGGGTCAAAGTTGAACTAATTGAAAGTGAAGGGATCAAAATAACACAAGAAATAAAATGTAGAAATCACCGGTATAATTTGCCTTTTTTTCTTCTCAATTTAAATAAGTCCTGACATTAATAAATTTTAAATTCAATCAAATGATTAGAACAAAATCTTTTAAAATATATATATATATATATATATTAGTTGCAAAGTTATTGCTTGAAAACTCACAAGACATAAGAATTAATAACATTTTGCCAATATCTTAAATCACATAGGATTCTCACTTGTAAAAAAGTCAAGTATTTAAATGCAAAATTAACAGCGCCAGTGAGGATACTAATTTCAATAAATGTGGAATAACTCAATTAAGAGCAGTAATACCATATGCACAACAAAGAAAAGTATAAAGAAAAATCAATGTGTAACCCTACATTCATTCTAGTGTGACGCATTGGGTTACACATTAATTTTTGTACACTTTTCAATATGTGCATGTTGCGGGCTAATTGAATTTTCTTTTTCCCCCCAGATTAAAGCCACGGTGAATTAATATCTTCAAGCTCTGGTCGTTTTTAGATTTATAACTTACTTTTTTGCTATTTGAAAAGGACAGGCGGCGCATTTGCAACGAAAGATTGAAGAAAAACATTGGTCCTTTGATCAGTTTTGATTGTTCAACACTAGTTTGGTGAAGAAAAACACCGGTCCCTACAGGATTGCAAACAAAACCTTTTGGTTTTTTTCCTTTCGCGTCAATTGGAAAAGGGCAGTTTTTCTTCTTTAGCACCCTAGTCCCTTCGTGATCAAAGCTTTTAATCTACAACCAAAAATTATATTACAATACACACTAAATGGTGCCAATTTGAGTGCAAAGAGTGAAGCTCATAGAATACTAACACTACAGGAAAAAGGGAATTTGGTGGCGTTTTTGTAACGACGTTTATTTAAACGTCACTGTTATTAGTATTTAACGGCGTTTTATAAAACGCCGCGTATTCTATTACACAAAACGACACCGTTTTTTTTTTTGAACAATAACACGCACCTCCGAAACCTTATTTTGAATCCTTAATACATACGGACAGATCTCTCTCTCTCTCTCTCTCTCTCTCAACCCTTAATACATACGGACAGATCTTTGTCTCTCTCTCTCAACCCTCTCTAAGCTCTATTGAAGATTCAGATCGATTCAGATCGAAGCTCCATCGAAGTTTCAGATCTAAGCTTCATCGAAGATTCAGATTGAAGCTCCATCGCCTGCGATTTCGAAGCTCCATTGAAGCGATTTCGAAGATTCAGATCTGAACTCTGACCCCTCGATTACTCGCATTTCAACCTCCATTGAATGGTCTACTTTGTTTCTGAACTGTAATCGGTACTCGCTCTCTCTCTCTCTGTCGCGCTCTATTTCTGGTTTTTGGGAAAAATGAAGACTGTCTAGCTCTCTGTTTCTGAACTGTAAGAGGCAATGCTTGCTTTCCTTTGTATTCGGGATTAACATTTAAGATTGTCTAGCTCTCTGATTAATATTTTTCACTTACTCAAACAGAGCATAAGTATTCAATTTGATTTAATTTTTGAAGATTTTTTGAAATTTAAGTTACATTCCCTATTTCATATTGATTTAGTTTTCCTATTTTATATGTTTTTGTTTTATAAACTAGGGTTAATTTAATATAAATAATGATATGAATAATTTTTTTTTTTAACTTTTTTTTTCAATCTATGAGATACCAAAAATTCATTGGAGAGCCAAGCTTAAATAAATTTTACGAATTAAACCCCAAATCCTAAACTCTAAAATAAAAAAAATAAATTTTATCTCCAAACCCTAAACCCTAAACCCTAATCTCTAAATCATAAAATAAAAATAAAAAAATTTAAGAATTAAGCCCTAAACCCTAAATCCTAAACCATAAACCATAATTGATGAGAATTTGAAATTTAAGAATTAAACCCTAAATCCTAAACCCCTCTGTTTGGCAAGTTAGTTTTCAGGCTTTTTTGGCTATTTTAGCCACAAAAAACAAAATAGGCTATTTTAGCCATAACAAACAAAACATCACATCCAACCTATAATCATTACATTCTTCTCTCACAAAAAAAGTCAAAAAAGTCAAAAAGCCAAAAAGTCCTTCCCAAACCAAGCTTTTTAGCCCAGGCTAAAATAGCCAAAAAAGCCAAAAAGCCAAAAAGCCAACCTACTTCCCAAACCAAGAGTCAATACATTTATTAGCAAGGCCATTTTATTTTATTTTTTCTTCCTACAAGTGATATCATGAGATGAGTGACAAGTGGATGAAACATGCATACCATTTTGTTAATTGTTACTAATTTATTTGATCTCAATTCCTTTATCTTACTCTCCTATAATCTTTGTTTTTGTGAAATATATGTGTATATATATAGTGCTTGACTAATCTTTTTTCCGTAATAATCAATTATTGTGATATTAACCATGGATTGCCCCCTTGAATATGATAATAGGGTGATTTTGTCTGTGAATTGTTAATTTAGTTGGTCTCAATTACCCTCAGAAAAAAATTCATTTATTTTTTGTGTTTTATTTTTTAGTAGCTCGTTTATGTTTATGTTGGGTTTTGAAATTTTCAAGAAACTATGATTGTCTTTCTCATTGGATGTTCATCAAAACTATGACTAAGTTTATAGATTTTTCACTTTCTCTTGAGTTCTAAGAGTCTGACTTTGGTAGTTTATGTGTCCTTGTATGAGCATTAATTTAGAAGCAAAGCAATTTCTTATCACATCTTATGTTGTGCTTTTAGTTGATAAAAATAATTTTTTTCTATCATATGATTGTGGTTGTGGTTGTGATTGTGATTGTGAATGTGATTCCTCATTTGGTGGCTGCTCTTTGGTGTTTTTTGAATCATCATCAGAAGTATTCGAGCTTTGGTACAGTTATTGGTTTGGGTAGTGGGTTTGAACTTCCCACATCCATGAGTTCCTGCCAAAATTATTCTATTATTGATGGATTTGAGAGAGCAATGTATTTCTTGAATCTATAATAATCTATCAAGAGCATTGTAGAAACTTTTGGTTTCTTCATTAATATGCTTCATACTAGATATGCTTCTAGTATGCTTGATAGTACTAATTTAGATTGCACTACCGGGATGCAATCATAATGGTGCATGCATGCATAAATAGCCTTAGACCCGTCCAAGAATCTTCATTAGAGATACCTAGTCATCTTTGATGAAGCTCTTCTTGGATTGTCCAGTTTGGACAATTCAGGAGCACAAGTCTGTATTGTAATTAGTAGTTCTACTGCTTATAGTCCATCTCGTAGAGATTTCATGTAGCAACTCCTTGTGTTCTCCGAGTGCATACTAGACAAGGTGTAATAGTACACCTAGTCTATGTCGTGTATTTGGAGAACCATGGGGAGATGCTGCCGAAATTTTGTTAGAGATGAACAAAGCGGTATGAACTGCTTTTTACAATATAGATCGTGCATTCCTGAATGGGAAAGTAGGATAAACCAACATATTAGAGACCAGTTAGAGGTGAATGATGTCATGTTGCATGCATTATAAGGTGCTTAATTGAGGTTGAGATTAATTAAAATGGAATCGTAATTTTAAACTTTGTTGAATTGGTAGTGACATTTGTAGTGTAAGACAGAGTCAGATGGATAAAAGTTGGATAAATCAGCATAGGTTGCACCCGGAATACATACAAGGGGTTAAGGAATTTATTAAATTTGCATACGAAAATAAGCCGTTGTTGAATGAAGTCACATGCCCATGTAAACGGTGTCGTAATGTCAAATTGGTGGAGAAAGGCCTGTTAGGGGAACATTTAATGATCAACGGGTTTCTTCCAAGTTACACCAGTTGGATTTTTCATGGGGAGAATTTGTCATCGCCTGTGCCACACAATGTGAATGTCGGGCAAACTGATTCGAACGATGGTGATGAAACTTATGAAATGCTATACGAAGGATTTGGACTTCCTCCACCAAGCTTTATTCACGAGGCAGCAAGTTCTGGTATTAAACAAGGTCCAGATGAGAAAACCGAAAAATTCTTCAATTTATTGAAAGAGGCCGAAAGAGAGTTGTATCCTGAGTGTCAGAAGTTTTCAACGCTCTCATTTATTGTTCGGTTATTGCACATCAAGTGCCTTAGTGGATGGAGTGACAAGTCTTTCACGATGTTGCTTGAGCTTTTGAAGGATTCGTTCCCAAAGGGTGAAACTTTGCCAAAGTCATTTTATGCAACAAGGAAACTTATTAGGGACTTGGGCCTCGATTATCATAAGGTACATGCATGCCCAAGGGATTGTTCACCATATTGGAAGGAAACAGCTGGTATGGATGATTGCATAGTGTGTCATATGCCTAGATACAAACAGTTTGAGGGGGAGGAGAATGATGTTAAGAAGAAGCAACAAAGAATTCCGCATAAGATTGTTAGATACTTTCCATTGATTCCAAGGCTTCAAAGATTGTTTATGCCATCCAAAACATCTTCTTTAATGAGATGGCATGTAGAGGGCCGAATTGATGACGGCAAAATGAGACATCCTGCTGACTCTCCAGTTTGGAAAAATGTTGATAATTTGTATCCCAAGTTTGCGAGTGAGCCACGCAATGTCAGACTGGGTTTAGCAGCGGATGGATTCAATCCATTCAAGGCAATGAATGTCTCTCATAGCAGTTGGCCAGTTATTATAATGCCATACAATTTGCCACCATGGTTGTGCATGAAGCAGCCTCATATGATGATGACATTGCTCATCGATGGTCCTTCTTCACCTGCCCCATAAGGTGCAGCTCCATTATTTCTTACTAAAGTTACATTCCATATATTCAGTTTTATTTCTACTAATTATAAACCCGTTTGACTCGAGTGTTTTTTGCCAAATTTTTAATTTAGTGTTAATTCCTTTCTTAATGTCATCCGCTAGAACAATATCATATGCTAACAACATAAGCCATGCTAACAACATTTCATCGACTAGAACAATATCATATTATCAGACAACTTATATCCACGTGAAAAGCTGGCAGCTTCCTAGTAACATAAATGAACTTTTAATTGTTGTTTCAGAGTCTATAAAACCTCCACTCATCTAGTAGCGTTGCTTCGGTTGAAAGTGGTTTAAAACCCTGCAAACACGTGCAATGGGTAACTCAGAATAGTGGGGTTATGGTGAAGGCAAAGACTTCTAGCTATGCAAGTGCGAAAGACATTAATCCAGTGGAAGGTGATGTAGCGTACTATGGATATGTGACAGATATTATTGAATTGTATTACTCACACGACCATAGATACATGTTATTCATGTGCAACTGGATTGATAACAATAAGGGACTCAAGCAGGATGATTTTGGTTTTACACTTGTTAATTTCAATCACTTGTTATATGTACTCGCTCTCTCTCTCTCTGTCTCGCTCTATTTCTGGTTTTTGGGAAAAATGAAGACTGTCTAGCTCTCTGTTTCTGAACTGTAAGAGGCAATGCTTGCTTTCCTTTGTATTCGGGATTAACATTTAAGATTATCTAGCTCTCTGATTAATATTTTTCACTTACTCAAACAGAGCATAAGTATTCAATTTGATTTAATTTTTGAAGATTTTTTGAAATTTAAGTTTGAGAAAATTAAACTGAAATACAAGGTGGATGCAGGTAATCGCAATCATGCCAAGTGGTTTTAAGCAACAGAAATTAGATGATGAATTTTTTCAAATAGTGGAGAATGATGTAGTCGAGATTTTAGGAAATTCATAATCATAATTTTATTATTTTGAAATCTATAGTTGATTAGAAAAATGTAGGTTTAGAATAGAATATGCTACAATAGTTACATTCCCTATTTCATATTGATTTAGTTTTCCTATTTTATATGTTTTTGTTTTATAAACTAGGGTTAATTTATTATAAATAATGATATGAATAATTTTTTTTTTTTTTTACTTTTTTTTTCAATCTATGAGATACCAAAAATTCATTGGAGAGCCAAGCTTCAGAATGTGCCTTGCTAATCCATCCTTAATCCAAGACTTTGAGGTTCACAAGTGTAGGTACAAAATTCAAAACCTACTAAGAGAGTAGTCAATACATTTATTAGCAAGGCCATTTTATTTTATTTTTTCTTCCTACAAGTGATATCATGAGATGAGTGACAAGTGGATGAAACATGCATACCATTTTGTTTGAGCTGATTCACACCATTAAGAGCTCGGACCAATATATTCTTTTGAGCTTGCTGGAAATTAGAGAGCTAGACAATCTTCTCACATGAGTGTACCAGTGGGAATGTTGTTTTGCTATCAACATTATGATTAAACTTTGAGTGTTTGTTCTTTTGCTCCATCAGTTTAGGTGGGTTTCTGGGCTAGTTGATCTAGGCCAAATTTGGCGTCCTGTCTGTTAATAATTATTCTCTCCAATTCTAAAACTCATTAATATTAAATTAGGCACTGTTCATTTATTAGTTCAGTATGGAGGCATGACTTCTGGGCTCTTCCTAGGATTAGGAGTAGAAAACAAACTGACTCTCTGTGCTCATTGAATACAACAGTTGCTCATTCTTTAATGAGTACCCATTATCATTTTCATTGATGCCCTGTTTGTTTGAAGTCATAAGTAAGTGAGGTAACAATGCCCTTCCTCACTCTTCATTATGATTTTTGAACTAAAATTAGACTTTTCATTATGATGTTAGAAATTATAGGTTTATTTTGTTCAATAAAAAAACACTTTCATTCTGGTCCTCTTTTCTTTTTAATCCTCTCTTTGTCAATGTTTTGCCAGCAAAGGTGTGCCAGTCTCTTCATAGGGTATTTGATTTTGTTAATTGTTACTAATTTATTTGATCTCAATTCCTTTATCTTACTCTCCTATAATCTTTGTGTTTGTGAAATATATGTGTATATATATAGTGCTTGATGAATCTTTTTTCCGTAATGATCAATTATTGTGATATTAACCATGGATTGCCCCCTTGAATATGATAATAGGGTGATTTTGTCTGTGAATTGTTAATTTAGTTGGTCTCAATTACCCTCAGAAAAAAATTCATTTATTTTTTGTGCTTTATTTTTTAGTAGCTCGTTTATGTTTATGTTGGGTTTTGAATTTTTCAAGAAACTATGATTGTCTTGCTCATTGGATGTTCATCAAAACTATGATAGGTTGTGGATTCACTTAGTAGTCATCCCACTGTTCGGCCAATGCCACATCAACAACAATCTCATATATTTTTGTCCCAAGAGGTGAGCAATCATTTAATCAAAGCTTTTTTGACAAATAACATATCTTATTAATTACAATACTTGCTCTTATTAAATATAGGTTCACCTTTCAAAGAAAGAGAAGAAGAATAAGAAGAAGAAGAAGAACTAACAAGGTAAACGTACTAATATCACTAGTTCGTGGTTTATGTTCATTTGATTTGTAAGGCAGCAGCATTAGTGAAACAGCTATTAGTAGCAGCAGCATGAGCTGCAGCTGCAAGTAGTCCAATGTGCATGCTATCACTAGATAAAACAGATGATGGCATCACAGTTTGTGGTCGAATAGCGTGGCGAATTCCCAATAGGAGCTGATTTTTTTCATTCCGGTTAATAAAGAATTTAGATATTGTAAACAAATGGCCAATCAGCAATTCACAGACAACAAATTGAAAATGATGAATACAGAACAAAATACCAGATAAAAAGAACAGAATCTCCAGCTACAAGTCTCTTGGCACTAACAAAGATTTCCTTTGGAAAACTTTAAAAATTCTTTTTGTGAGGGTTCCGTTGAATAACTTACGTTGAATTTTACTTTTGGATAAACAGTGCATTATAATAAATGTGGTTGTCGCTACATATTAAATTCCGACAGCATATTGACAGGTGCTTGACGTGGAACAAGTTGTGATTGGTAGTTGTTTTAGTTTTCCATACAATCAATAAATCATGCATTGCATGATGTTTTATCCGTTGTGCTATTGTTCTGTTATGCGCTTTTCATTACTTCATATTAATTAATGCCCCACTGGCTTATCCAGTGAGTAACTGTATCTTACTTCGTAATGGGTTAATTATTCTCCATCACCCATTGTCTTTTAATGTTTATGGGGCCAAATTTGAAGGTTGACTTTTCCGTTTCCAGCCTCCATGAGGTTGAGATTCTTGTGACATAAGTTAACTGAATCTCTTTTATGCTATTAATAACATGATATGGAACAATGGATGTCTTGATAGTTTTTTTCCCCCTCTGGAAAATTGAAATGAGCATGTGCAGTTATTTCAGGAGTAATCTCTATGGAGTTATTATTTGTACCCCAATGCTTCAGCTTGTTGAGGTCTTACCAGCTGTTAGTCATGTTTCTAGTTTGTATTCTTATTTTTTTTTTAAATTCTTTGTATTATTTTTTCTTTTTCCTGCAGTGCCATTTTCTAACCCAGAGGCTGGTATAGTTGCCAGTTGTGAAACTAAGGCCCAATGGCACCCCAGATGCTATGAAATCAGAGGGGAATGATTCACTTGACACTTTTATCAAACAGGCAATAGGGAAAGCGCCTCCCCTTTCTTTCTCAAGGACAGGAGACAACCCAGTATGTTTCATAGAGCAGGAATCACTCCCAGTATGTTTCCTTCTGGCAAAAGCTACATGGACAATGTTAAAACATGATTTTTGGATATGTTATTTTGTGGGTAATGGTGATTGGATATTAATTGAATGAGAAACTGAATTAATGCTTTATTTGTTATTTGAATGGGAGTTATTATTTTATCTGTTAGTTTTATTACAGGTATTTGAATGGGAGTTAATATTTTGTATGCTAGTTTTATTACAGGTATTTTTTTATTAATTGAATGAGAAACCAAATTCAATATTTTCTTACAGGTATTCTTTTTAATTTAATCAAATAAAATTAGCATAATCTCACCAAAAAAAAAAAGAAAAAAAAAAGAAAGAAAGATATGACGGCGTTTCTACAAACGCCTCCTAAACCCTCAATAGTAACGGTCATATTTTTTACACAGATAAAACGGCGTTTCAAAAACGTCGCTAAATATTGTTGGTGACGTCAGCGTGTGTATAGTGGGACATTTTGCGGCATTTTTTAAAACGCCTCCTATACTAATATCACGACGTTTTTAAAACGTCGCAAAGCTACAGGGACGGCCGCAGCTTCGACGTTTGGTACTAAACGCCACAAAATGAATTAACGGCGTTTTTGATAGATATCGCGGCGTTTTTAAAACGCCACTAAAAGCCCGATTTCCAGCAGTGACAGATTTTGAAAATAAACATATCAAAAAAAAATTATACTAAAAAGCAAAAAAATAAATAAATAAAATAAATAAAGCATTGATACATGTTGATGAGATATATATGATGCATAAGTGTGAGCAGTCTGGCTTCACTTAGAAAAGTTATTTAAAAAATAAATTTTATTTTTATTGCAATAATGATCCACAATGGTTTTAAATTGGTTATTTTTTATTCTTTATGGTGTTAAATTTATTTATTTTTGTTCTTTCGTTGTTAATGAAAACCCTTCTCATTCTTGCCAAAATGAAATAACAAAAGAAGAGAAGTGAAGAATATCAAGAAAGAAAATTGTTCAAGAGCTCTAAAATAATGAGCTCTAATAGCTCTAAAAATACTGTAGCCCCAATTGATGTGATGTTTTACTCTTTGTTTTTTTTTTTTTTTAAATTTTCAGCACTGCCAGCTCATTAGAGCTGGCTTAGTGATCCCTTTTTAGTGGTATGTAGCACCACTGTATCAAGAAATTGATGAGAGATTTATGGTGGCAAAT